GAAACAAAGCACTCACTCAGAGCCCGCTCATCCCCGAGTGCCGCGGACTCGCTATGCGCCTGTGCTGTGTGGGGTGAGTCCCCCGTCTCTGGGGTGCTGGCTCTCAGACTGTGGCCCCGGCCCGCAGCAGACTTCCAGAGGCAATGTGGCCAGAATCAGGCCACCGCACCCTACTCACTAGGGTTCAAGCCCAAGCCCATGTGACCCCAACGCCCAGGTTCCTTCCACGATGAGACGCTGCCTGGACCTGAATTTATCCCAGACTCATTGGTACCAGATGGGGAAACTGAGGCACAAGGAGGCAATCAACCTGAGGCCCACGGCAAGCTCGGGAGGGGCTGAGAGCAGACTCTACTCAGGGTTGGGGGGCCCCTGCCCCTGGCTGTTCTCCCGCCCACTCTCTGGCCCCCGGACATCTCCCAAGGCAGGGAGGGAGTATTCACCAGCGCCTGGAACGCCAGGCTCCTTGGGCGTAGAGCTTCCTCGTTCCTGCAGAGCCTCGTGCCTGGTGCCTGGAGGCTGGAGGCAGAGCTCCAGATAGACCTCGGAGAAGAGGGGAAGGGGAGGCAAGGCGGCCCCGCGCCCCTCACAGGCCTCGGGCCAGCGCCCGCCTGGCCCCTCCCTCTCTCTACCTGCTCCCCTCACCTCCGCAGCCAGAGGGAGCATTTCCAGCTGTAAGTGGGATTAGTTTACGGGGCTGGAGTGAGACAGGAAGCTCTCATCCTGACCAGCGAGGCCCCGCCCCCACGCACCTGCCCCCAGCCCAGACCACCTTGTCACCCCGCTCGACATCTTTAATGTCTGTCCCTCCAAGCTGTGAGCTCCCTGAGGGCAGGGCCCGATTCTGTGACTGACGTGCACAGCTGTGTCCCTAACAGCTAGCACTGTGCTGGGCATAGGACAGGCCTGGCAATATTTGCTGAATGAATGAATGAATGAATGAATGCCTTGTTCTAGGTCCCCGAGTGCCCTGAGAAGTGAGTAACATGCCCCCACTTTAGAGATCAGAAAACCAAGTCTCAAGAAGGGACTGATAAGAGCTTAGTGGGAGCTCAGGAATCCTGGGTCCCTTTTCTAAACCGGACGCCACAATGGGCCTCCCTCCCAACGGGCAGGTCTCACAGCCAAACCCACTACAAGCTGTCAATCAGAGTATCAGAGCCTCTGGTGAAAGAGGCCCCTCCCCTCAGACAGGCCCAGAAGGTGAGGGGACCCCTGCCAGAAGCACAGGAAGTGCCCCGGGCTGGGATGCGGTCAGAGTCCCCTGGCCCCCTCCCGGCCTGCAGGCTGGGGCCGGGGGCCAGGCGGGAGCTGACTTCTCTCCCGTGAAGCCCAGTCTGCGGGCAGAGGAGGAAAAGGCGTGACTGATGCACGTTCCTTAAGAAGCAGCTGTTGCTCAGAAGGAGGGTCTCGCATAACCTGCCCCTCCGAGAGCCCCACCTGGTTTACCTGTGTCATTGGGCTCTGAATGGTCTAACGTTCCAGCGCCCTGATCCCAGCACCTCCTACCGGCCACTCACGAGTGCTGTTTGCAGAGGCACCGGGAGCGGCTGGCCCTGCCACCTCCTCCCCCCCAACTCGGGGTCCCGGCTGTCCCCCTAGGGCAAATCCTGCCGGCTGCTTTGTCGTGCCTGGCGGTCACACCGCAGGGCTGCTGGGGTGTTCTCCGGCCTTGGTGTGGAATCGGGGAGGCTGACACGGGTCCCGGCCCCACCACGAGCTGGCCGGGTGGCGTGTGACAGGTCGCCGGACTGCGGGAACATACTTACTGCGTGGAGTCCAAAGAATAAAGTGGAGTGAGAGACGTGGACGCGAACTCCGTCCTTCAGCGCCCGGCTCCCTCCCCCTCCACCCCCTCCTCCCGTTCTGCCGATTCTTTCATGTCCGTCTGTCTTTCCCATGACGGTTTTATTGAGATGTACCCACACGCTACACGATCCGCCCTTTTCACGTGTGCGATTCACTGGTGTTTAGCATGTTCTCAGACTTGTGCGGCTGTCACCACAATGTGAGAACACTGTCCCCA